AGAAGAAAAAGAATGTGGCTTTAGGACACTTAGTTGCCTACGCGTTCAGAAGAAGTACAACTTAATCCATCCTAATCATCCCATATAACTTCCTTTCTACTTTACTGATGCCTCTTTTAGAGCACTTTTTGGGATATATTAGGGTTCTGATAGTGATGATATTGAGGGAGAAGGGAGAGCTCCTACACCTGTACAAGGACCCGATCAAAACTATTTACAAGAAATGGTCCATCAATTGATCATTTGGAGACTCACTTTGATCAATGTTTTGACCAAATTGAGACTCATTTAAATCAATAGGATACGAGATACCGGGAGGACATGGGTTGGATCCGTGGTCAGTTTGATACGGTTAATACAATTATAGCTATGATGAATAGCTATTTTTCAGTGTTCAACTAGCCTCTTCCTCCAGATAAGGGCATCTCCAAATTTTAGTTGTACTTTAGTATTATTCCTTTTACTGAGCTTTTGAGATTGATGTTATGATATTTTTCTTTTATGATTGTAGTGTGTGTTATATGTTGGTAAGTGTTTATTTTATGAAATGGTGTTGAGTGTTGTTATTTGTGATATCATTGAGAGTGAATGCATATGAAAATTTTGTATCAATGAAAAATGCCATGTTTTTGGTGACATGTTCTTGTTTTCTTACTACTTAAAATATCAGTATGTTTATTAAGAAAAATCTTTTTAAAATTAATCATTAAAATTTGTTATAAATTATTTTGCATTACAAATTAATTTCTTTTTTAAAAAATTAATCATTCAAAAATTCAAATTAAATTATAACTGAATTTCAATAAGGAGATCAATTTCATGTTCCTTTAGGCAAACATAACTAGAATATCATTGTTGCAAGATTGATGTCTTATTATTTTGTATTTCATTTTCAATATATTTATTTTTATTATTAGTGAAATATGTTTTTAGATTACTGATTTTGAAAAGACTTAAAAAAATTTTACACAATTTATACAAAAATAGAAAAGATGCACAATGGTTCGCAAAGTGAAAAGAGGCACAAAATTAGCCCAAATAGAAAAGATGTACAAAATGTATCATAAATATTTAAAAAGATACGCAATGTTATCAAATTAAAAGTTGGTATTATATTTTTTCCTCTATCATTCAATCTCTAATCAAAATTTATCTAATTAATAATTATATTATATATTGAACTTGAAATTAACAAATCTTCATTTCGTCATTCTTGTAATAATCATCTTTATTTAATTTGTCTAGCATGAATCATAACTTTGATTGTCTTTTATTCTCTGTTGTTTTTTTATTTAAAATTTTGAATTTTTTCTGTTTAATAGTATGGAATTAATATTGTATTTTCAATTAATTTAAAATCATTTTTTAGATAAATTCTTTTGGTTTATCTTTAGAAACCTTTCATTTCAGGTTCTACTTCCCTTTCTGTTGTTATCAAAGTGGGGAGTAATAATATTATTTGATTAATTAATGATTTGTGTGCGTGTATGTGTATGTTTTTGAATGCATGGCATGTGTGTGAATGTTTTAAATATTCATGTTAATTCGGTGTTCGTGTTTTGTGTTTATATTTTTTTGTTTGAATTATTTTTATTTTTTTATCTTTTTTTTTTTTAGGAGTTTTTATCTTCATGGGAATCCCTAGATTTATAGTGGTCATTCATTTAGGAGGAGCTAAGGAGAAATTTTTCCTTTAAAGATTAACTCAAACAATGATTGTTTTACCATCATAAAAAAGGGGGAGATTATTATAATTTAGTTTTCATAACTTATTTTTATATCATATATGTTTTTTATGATTTCAAATATTATTATTTTGATTACTGTTTCTCCTAATATATATTGTATATATTGTTGTTGTTGTTTGTGTGTACCAACATTTCAGGGAAATCATACTCCAAACTGTTGAAGAGTTCAAGTCAGATTAGATTAGAATTTATTATAAATGGAGTCTATATTTTTTACACTTTTATTGAGTCTGAGAGAGTGTGTTTATATTTGGATAACCGTGTACACACACACACCGAGGGAGTATAAAAACTTGAATTTTTTAATATAATCGTACTATACGATTTTGCATCGTACGAGATGGTTTGACTAGAGTTCCTCTAAAAAGTTGCTAATCAAACTATGCGAGAAAAATTTTCTAAGTCATGTTCATATTGTACGAAGTTATCTTTGTACAGACAACGTCTAAAGTACGAAATATATATGTACAAGTTCGTCTCGACGATCATCAAAATTTTTCTAAACTGATTGTCCTGTACAAAGTCCTCTTCGTACAGACGACGTCCATAGTACGAAAAGATTGGGTCTCTTTTCGACTCGACGAACACTAAAATTTTCTATTACGTTTGTACTGTACGATCTCATCTTCGTATAGACGATATCTAGAGTATGAAATTGTGGAGTATCTTTTCGTCCCAATGAATAGGAAAATTTTTCTAAACAGTTCGTACTGGACAAAATAGGTTTGTATTGTACAATATGTATATACAAAAATATTTCATACAAGATCGTACGAGTAGCTTTGAACTGTACGTACGTACAAACAAAGATTGTATTGTACGATCTCGGATGCTCAAACTTGCAATTTTTAATTTTCAGGATGGTTTTTTATTCTTTTAATATAAAAACTCCTTAGAAACTGAGTAGAGAAGAATCCTTCTTCGTTTTTCTTAAGAGCAAAGGTTTGAGAGTGTTTGGGAGAGTGATTTGAGAGTGTGAAGAGAGATTTTTCAAGTGGAAATTGTGAAGGATTCACAAGGTTGTCCAAAGGTGAGGATCTCTTTGAGTCTTATCAATTCTCTTCCCTAATTCTTTGGAGTTGCTCGTGAGAAGATCTTTGAAAGGATGCCGGTTCTCTGCCGACACTTAGAGAAGTGTGAAAGGACGCCTATTCTCTACCGACACTTGAATAAGTGTGAAAGGATGACGGTTCTCTGTCAATACTTGGAGAAGTGTGAAAGGATGACGATACTCAGCCGCACTAGGGATTGGTGGAAGAGAGGTTAATTGTAAAGGCTTCTCCGCCTTAATATAGGGGCAAAATGAGAGTCACTTTGGTAATAGTGCAATAACTAAAGAGGGAGTCTTCAGGGAATGGACGTAGGTCTTGTTGGACCGAACAACTATAAATCTTTGTGTTACTTTTATTTTTCCCTCAATTTTATTTACTGCACTTTTTATTTAAGTGGTTGAAAAAGTTTTATTTTGAAAGACTTAAATTATGCATATAATTCAATAATTGATTTTTATTATAGGGGAAGATTTGTAAATTACCGATTTTATTCCCCCTCTTGGTTAGCTTTGGATGATTGCGTCTAACAACCTATACAATCTTTCACTTTGGAATCGAAAATTTTTTCGCTACCGTAGAGGTCCTGTAAAAAGTTGATATGGTCTTCTCGTCAAAACTTGATATGATCTTCTCATCATCGCAACACTGTCATTGTAAAGGAGTCGTTAAGAGTACAGTAGCTAGATCATCTTCCCAATACCATAATAATAGGATAGATAATAAAGGAATTAATAAAAAGAGTTTCATATAGTGTGAGAGTTTGATGAATTACGAGAGTTATAATATATAATATAATAATAAATCGAAAGAGCTATGAAGAGGAGAATATGAAGAGGAATAAAAATTGTATGGAATATGAAGAGAGAAATATGAAGAGGAATAATAAATATAAGGGATACAAAGAGAAAAATATGAAGGAATTTAATTAATAATAATTAAGATCATGATAAAAAAAGAATAAAAAGAGTATGAAATAATAAAATGAGAATACGAAGAGGTATTTAATGAATATGAAGGAAGACTAAGTAGCATTAGGGAATTCAAAGTATTATTTATTTATTTAAATAAAAATTATTATAATTAATTATTTTAAAAATGATTAATTAATCATAATAAGATAATAAAAATAATAGCTAGAATTTTATTTTAAAAACTAATATGAAAGGCTAGAGTTATTTGCGAAGAAATTTTAGTGACTTTTATAATATTAATACTTAAATAATAGATATATATTATTCAAGCTGAATTTTGAAAGATGAAAAGTAAATTAAAATTTTCATAATAAATTTAATAATTAACTGTGCAAATGTAACATATAAATTAACATAGTAATTTTAAATAATTTAATATTTAAGTTAAATTTTATTGAAAGTAATTTATACAATTAAATGAAAACATGCATAATAAGCAAACAATAATATTACTTTAGAAAGATTTAAAAATGAGAATATTGAAAAGATATAATTTAATTTAATTTTTTATATAATAATCATATATTTAAATTTTGGAATTCGATATTCATCATAAATTTAAGGGCTGGAATTCGATATTTGGGAGGAATCTCAAACCACTTGTATATAGAAGTATAGGTTATTAGATACATTGTTTTGAAAACCGGACCGGACCGGCCGGTTCGACCGGTTCAACCGTGAACCGGTCTTATGGCCGGTTCGGTCCTCCATAAGAACCGGGCTAGCAACGAACCGGAAAAAATCGGTTTGAACCGGCGGTTGAACCGGCTGAAAATTGAAGATGTTATATTTAAATTTAAAATTAGTAATTATTTATATTTAAAGATATAACATAAATATAATAATTATTTATATTTAATTTTAAAATTATGTAATATATTATATATGTATGAATTTTATTTATTTTTTAGTCTAAAATTTTTTAAAATTATAAAATGTTTATGAATAAATTGTCATTATTATTATGTTAATTGTATTATTTTTAATTATATTATTATTTATTACGTCATCCGGTTCGACCGTAACCAAAGCAAATAAGTCTACCAATTATATTATTATATTTTTAAAAAATAAGTCTACCAAAATTGAAACCTAATATATGACCGCCCGAGAAGCTGGCCAGATTGACGGAGCGCGCAGTGCAGGTTCCAAGTCCGGTGCCCGACATGGAGACCGATAAAATAAATATAGATAAAAATAATGCAAACCTTCATTTGTCCTATTTAAGCAATTTCATCTCCCAGCCCAGCGCTTTACGACCGTAGAGATTCGGCTCCAGGCACTCCCGCTCTCTTTTCTCGCTAGACTCGCCGATTTGATATTGGTCCCCTGATCCAATCCGACATCGCTGAGAATTTCGACTGGACCTATAGAATAGAATATAGATCATCCATGTCGGCTGGGAACTCCGGTGGATCCAGCGTCGTCGGTGAGAACTGCAACTTTTTTTGTTCTACTTTCTTTTCCTTTGCCATTTAGGGTTTCTGTTTGGGTTGGAGAGGCGGGCTTGTTGGATCTTTAGGGAATTTGCCCCTTTGACGGATGTTTGCTTCTAATCTCACCATGGATAGCGGAAAAGTTGGTATTTATTTGAGAGGGTACTGTGATATCGGGATTTGACTTTCTTGACATCGGATATACTAAATTTCGCTCTGGAATAGCTATGATCTAGTAATTATGCACTTGTTGTTTGCCGTGATTTTCTGATTTACCTTGCTAAATGGTTTGGTCATTGGTCTCTGAGGGAAGAACGGCCAAGTGGTTGTTGGTTCAAGTAGGCCTTGTTAATGGCAGCTAGAACGGAAATTCATTTTCATATTCAGTGTGTGTTGGGCACAGACACGCCTTCAAGACTCCCTGACACATTTCCAACATGCTTAGAATTGTGTTTGATTATTTTTTGTCAAAACTATTGTCAGGACGCAATCAAACATGACTGGGACACAATCCAGTATGTCCAAGGCACAACCCAACACTATCGGGACACGCCCCGTACAATCAGGACACACATGATCGGGACACATGATGATGTTCTTGTGTATTTTTTTAGGAGCCAACTTAGCATATTATTTCTTTTATCGATGATGATGGAGGTTCTATTTAAGAGGAAATGGGTGTTAGCTGAATTAGGGATACATCAACATGTACATTTTTTTAGATATTTTGAAGATTATATATAATTTTTTATATTTAAAATTGTGTCGATAATGCAATGTTAATATTGGCAAAAGCATACCTAAATATTAATCTTAATGATGATGTGTTATTGAAAATTAAGTATATTTTATAAAAAAAATAAAAGCACACTGATATACTGATAAAAATAAGTGTAATTAAATCAATATTTTTTTATGTTGTTCATTAAACTTTTTATGTGATATATGATATTATATTTCATTTTGTAGTGCTCTTTGATAGAAAATATAGACATTAGGTGTTTTGATTATATATTTTATTTAAATATTTTATAAAAAAATATCTTGGCATGTCATGTAAAAATCCAGTGAAAAAAATAAACTGAATATCTAAATAAAGCAGGTCATAATTTGACGTACAAACTAAGGATAAGAACTTAATAATTTATATCTAATGATCTACATGTTTATAAAAGTTGCTGCACAAATGCAATTATGTAAGTGAAATTTTCAATCATCATTCTCATTATCTACATCTTCCTGATCTTGTCATTCTTTAACAAATTCTTCTTCAGTCAAATCTTCATTATTTTAATCAACAAAAGAATTTTTAGATTAATTAATCATATCATTCCAAACAATATTCTCATGAAATGATGGTTGCACTGGAGTATTAATTGATCTAATAGTTGGGGTTCTTGATGCTAAAATTCCTTATGCTTGGCTTGCCCGATGTTCTCTTGGATGTATGATGAAATCTTGCTATTCTAGTATTTGGAATATCTTCTAAGAATGCAGTAGCATAAATATCTTGCCATCATTAATTTATCATCAAAATAAACTTCTTTGCATCATCCATCATCTGAATGAGCCACTCATAACCATTATCAAATTGAGTCCAACTCAATTGGGAAATGTCATCCCTTTTATTGTTATTATGTTTCAGAATTTGATTGTACTTATTGTAGATCAAGGCATTTAATTGGTAAGGTCTAGCAAACTTTATTGAAGGTGCTAGGTACCCTCAAGTCAACATGGCTGACTAATGCCTGAAGTGTCAGGCACCATCCTTGGTGTCTTGAGTGAAATGAGGAGCTAAAAGAATTTTACATTTTATTAATTAGAAGGAATACTTTTATATAATATAATATGATAATTACCATAATAAAACATCAAAAAAATAGTAGTAAAAATAGATTTTTTGAGTTTTGTGTCTTTCTATATATTTGAATGATAAAAACCTGTTCAAGAGATTGTTTAAAATAAAGTTCTTACAAGGTTCAAAAATTATATTTCAAGTTTAAACAATCAAAGAAAATTTTAACTTGGTAACTTTCATTGTGCAAGGCTGATCTGATTCTCGCTACTATCTATTCATCTTATTCATTACTCATTGTCTCTCTTCCCCATCATTAGATTTGTAGTACTCAATCTCATAATATGGTTGTGCATGCTTTAAAAAAAATTGCATTACAAAGGCAAAAATGCTTTTGCACCTAATACCTTACTCCAAGGTACTTGATTAGGTTTCACCTTAGTGTTGCCACTTGCTGCTTTGAGATTCATAATTTTAAGATTGATTCTAGCAGACACTATGCTGCTTCGAGATTCATAATTTTTTTGAGCTATTCACATATTCTCTCTTCCTCTCTAGTTATTTTTTCTACTCTTCATTCCCATGTAGATTCCAACTCACTAGCTCACCGGGTAAGCTTACTAGTAAAGTCTAGTGCCACCCATGACACAATTTGATCCAATATTCTCTTAGGTACTATGAGCGTGGATTGACGCCATTGATAAGAATATATGCCCTACTTGAGGAGCAACTTCAACAAACGCCATCTATTAATATGGGGAATGCCGAGCACACCACTTGTCGTGACTTTATGGAGATGGAATAATGGATAATGAAGACAATTCAGGATGCCTTAGGCAGGCTCCAAAGGCGATAAAAACAGAGAGCACCCTCGAAGGTTCTTCTAAGTCGGGAGTTTGTCGCAGGAGATCGGATAGCTAAGCATTGACTTCCATAGCTATTCTGGTCCACCCGCTTGCCAAAGAGTAATGAGGAATACATCTTGCCAACCAAGCGGGCTAGGAGGGCTGAGCCCAAGCCCATCAACGCCTTCTCAATGGAAATCATTGAAGCCAGGTTGCCTCCCAAATTCAAGGTTCCATATTTAGAGTCCTTTAGATTTAATGTTCACATCGTCATCATCATTGACAATGGGCCACAATTCGTTTACCAGTGCCTAAAGGACTTTTATCACTTGCAGGCAATTCACCTTTTAGTATACCACCCTTAGACTAATGGGCAAGTTGAAACCGCTAATATGCATATCCTCAATCTTTGAGAAAAAAGGTGGAAGGCGCCAAGGGAAAATGGGTGGACGTGCTTCCATCAGCCCTGTGGGCTCTGAGGATGACTACTTCATCGGCGACTAGACACATGCTGTTCTTGCTCTCGTCAATGAACTATTGCCATTCAAGCTCTACCTCCATCGTTAGTGAATTGTTGCTACTGCCAACCATGAAGAAGGTAAACTTAGCAAGTGGGCGGCGATCAATCTGGAAGGGTTGAATATAACGATGGATCTTTTGGAAGAGCTCATAGCACATGCCGTCCTCATACAAGAAGTACAATGGAGAGTGGCTCCACTGTTGAGTATAAGACTTGGATGTGCTCCACTATTGAGTCCTTGCATATCTACCCTCATAGAGAGCTCATGTATAATTATTACGTGATTGAAAATTCGATTTTCTTATTATTATGGCAAGTCCAGGTATAATAAAGGTCTCATCGAGCTCAAATGAGGGCATTTTAAATGGTGAGTTTAATCACGAAACCCCTCAAATACTTAGCTCAGGTTTGGTAAGCTATTATTGTTGCCCAGTTTAATTTAAGAATTTTATAAAAGTTTTTTTCATTTACTTGACGAGTTCAGTATTTAATTATAAACAAACGAGTTCAAGACTTAAGTATCGTTTTAGACGGTATTTCATTTTCTTACATAAGCGAGTGTCCTAACACATAATTAATGTTGCTTTAAATTCATTTATGGCTGAGTCCTCTAATAAGTTGCTACTACGATGGGCGAGTGCCCTTGCATTACTATTTACTGGCGAGTATGATATTTAGAAATTTGTGAAAACAATTAGTAGGGGTGTCAATATTTGACACGACACGAAAACCCGACCCGGACCCGACCCGGAAAATCCGGGTTGGACCCGCGCGTGCCGCCGCGAGCGCTGCCGCGAGCTGCCGCGCGCTGCCGCCGTCGCCTGCTGCCGCGTGCCGATCGCGCCGCCGCGTGCTGCCGCGGTGCCGGGTCGTGTCGGGTCAACCCGGCAACCCGCCGGGTCGGGTCCAGGTTCGGATTTTCGACCCGTTTCTCTACCCGGGTCGGGTTAGAGTCGACTCGTTTTCCACCCGTGACCCGAGTCAGTTCGGGTTCGACCCGAACCGAACCCGTGACCCGAAATTGACACCCCTAACAATTAGCATACAAAGCAAGAAGCGAGTAAGACTAAAATTTCTTTTAATTTCATTTCATTGTAAAGAGAGCTACGTGTAAAGTCATCCATTTGGGCCAAACAAAATGAAAAATAAAATAAAGCAAAAGTTACAAAAGATGGGTGAGTGACTCAATCACCAATCATACTTATGGCATCACTTTACTTTCTTTTGTTGAACTTCTCGAAGATGATAGAAGGGTCATGAAATACAGAAGACACAAAATTTTGATCAAATCAGTCCCTCATGTCCTTATACTTATGAATATTTCATTGAAATAGAGAAGATACAAAACCAGGCTCTTATGACATGTCGTGCATAGGACATCAGAAATAGTCCCATATAATTCCTAGTACTTGGCACATTAGTATCAGATTCTCATGACTCCCAGTGCATAACACTAATTTCCCATTTAGAATTCAAGCTCTTATACGTCTAGCATTTCACATAAGCAAGAAACAATCGCCGTCATTTTTTTCGGTTGTGATGCGAGCAAAAAATATAGGGGACGCTATATTTTTTGGTCACAAAAGAAGAAACCCTAAACTTGACAAAAAGAAGAGAACTTAGAAATTTTAGAACAAACTCTTATATTTCAAATAAAAGTAAGAAGAAGAAATTAAAAGACTACAAACAACAATTTAACAAACTCGACTCGCAATTAAAAGACACCCTAAAGTTGCTGCACTTGGAAGAAAGATACAGGTGGAGTGGCACTTGCGGAGAGACGAAGAGATTAGAAGCCAAGAAGAAGGGTGGAAAGAGCCCGCAGGATTTCCG